TGAGGAGAAATTAGGGTAGAAGTGAAGTTGGTAGTGACAGTCTCGTGTTTTTATGCGTAGATAAAGATGAATGTAATACAAATAATGGCGGATGTGACCAAAATTGTGTTAATATTCCTGGCTCATATCGGTGCAGCTGCAACATTGGATACACCCAGCATAGCCACAGCTGTCAAGGTATGATCTCCATCATGACGTTTAGCTATGCAAATTTTAAATTACCTTTGTCCTAAGACGGGATCAAACTCCGGAATCAAATCGAGAGACCGAGACCCCATGTAGGCCTCATTCGTAGGTAATTTATGAAAAGAGGTTTAGAAAACTCTCTATGGTGGCCAATGCAATTTATAACATAACCAAAGTAAATCGCGCGCTCTGATTGGTCAATTTAGAAAACTCTCTATAGTGGCCAATGCAATTTATCTCAGCACCTCAGTTGGTAGAACCATGTCCATTTCAAAAGTGTTGGGTCTAACTGGGCCTTTTTCGGGTAAGGAGCCGCCACCTTCCGTTGGTTAAATTTCACAGTTTTGTCATCATTCTCAAGAGAGATTTCTAAATTTTTAACAACACTGGCGATGCCAAAACTGAAGTTCCCCTCATTTTTCCATTTGATGAAGAGGTGCCTTTGAATTAATGGCCCGCCTTGATTAGCAGTGCTATCTGAGGAGCCAGGGGAATAAGGATTTATTGTCATTGTTATTGTTAAATAAACCTACTATTTAATTGGTTTCATAAAGGAGAAGGCAAATATAAAGCACCCATAAGCAATGATTCTGTTTTAAAACTAAAACCATCTCCATCATACACACTCCTCGCTTTACTTGTAAGCCAAGTTGTCTATGCGTAGTCACCGTCTGTGTCTCATTTTTAGACATTGACGAATGTCAGACGTTATTACCGACACCTTGCAGTTGTGGTGTTCCTGGAGAGCCCTGTGGTGCAAACTGCGTCAACCTGGTTCCTAGCTACAAGTGTACCTGTGCACCAGGATTTCAGCTCCGAAGTGGTGGAACCATCTGCGATGGTAATGTTTAAAGAAACTGTTACTGATTTGTCAAATGGAAGAGAATCGAAGAGGGCTTGCTCAGGGTGTGGGTAAAACACAATTTAATGCGCTTTTGATCATTACATGTTAAAAATCGCACTATAAATTAATAAGTTATTATAAAATCATTATAATGTAAAGGAAATACTGCCAGTGTCTTGAGTCTCTGTGTGATACAAATATGTATTACATGTATTTGTCTTTAAGATGTCAACGAATGTTTAAAGGCCAATGGAGGATGCCCACAAACATGCCATAATCAACCTGGAAATTTCTCATGCGGATGCTATAACGGCTTCAACCTCATCAGCGGGAACAATGGTACTTACTGCGAAGGTGAAATAACTTACTTAGTACTAGTTTTTCAGGAGATGGTAAGCAAAAACTTTAGTGTCAGGGCAGCTTGAAAGTGATCAGAATAGCAACTTGCCAGCCAGCCAATGGTTACCCCCTCTATTTGACTCATTGCACAGTACCACTGTTGTAAGACTGACAGCAATATTACTCTCTGTTGTCAGATATTGACGAATGCCTCTCAAGTAATGGTTTCTGCACCCACCAGTGCGTGAACACTGAGGGATCTTATCGCTGTGAATGCCCCGTTGGGTTTGTCTTGGATTCAAATGGAAGATCTTGCTCGGGTATATTACCCCTAGTGAACATGCCTGCAACTTTATTTGAGACAGCGGCGGAGCACAGGCAAATGTTTTTTCTTTCTGTCATAACCACCTATTCAACAAATGGTAAACACCACAGCGTGCACTACTGAGTTACGAGCGCAAGCGGGAGGTTGCTAAGCACGAAAGAAGGGTAAAAGCCCGCACTTTACTTTGGTTATGTTGTAACCCTTACATAACACTTGCGGTCAAATTCTCCATTTTGATCAAGCAATCTCTACAGGTGTTGAGTTGACCGCTTCTTATCAAAACCGCACAGGTAAAAAACCGATAATTTGCTCATGTTACAGATCACGATGAATGTTTGGCAGGCCAACATAGCTGCCAGCAAAAGTGTATTAATTACCATGGAAGCTTCTACTGCTCTTGCAACTCAGGATACGAACTCAACGGAGACAACACGACTTGTTCAGGTAAGAGGTCATATCGTCTCTTTATCATGGCCTTCTCATAGTCTTAGGTAGCACTTCTTTCCATTACCTCTCTGGCTAGTTCACGAATTAAGGAAACAATTATTGCTTTGAGCAAATGTCACTCTTCCATAGTTATTTACTTAATTTGTTGTTTGCACTATCCACGTACACCTTTTCGAATGAAATTCATTTTACAGATGTGAACGAATGCACCCCTATTCGTGTAGAGAACCTTAACAAAACGGTCATCCCAGCAGGATGCGATCAAATCTGTCATAATACACCAGGAAATTATACTTGCAGCTGTGACCTGGGATATCAGCTTCTATACGATGGAAAGCGGTGCAAAGGTAAGAGTGTCTGATAAACCTTTTGTAACACTGTGGAACATAAACACAACTCCACTTCATTTGTAACCTTCCTAAAAAAATGGTCGTCTAGGATGACTGTATATTTGACAATTGGTTCATGCCTTAGCGTGCACTATCGAGTTATGGAGCACGCGGGAAGTCTGGAGAGGACGAAAGAAGCGTAAGAGCTGCCCGAGGCAATAGCCGAGGGCAACACTAGCTTCTTGAGTGCTCTCCAAACTTCCCACGTGCTCCATAACTCGATAGTGCACAGCTGAAAGCATGAACCAATTGTTTTAGAACATAGCCGGTGGAATTGTGCATCAAATCCGACGCGAAAAACGGACAACAATATCAAATTGAAGCGAATCGTGACGGCGCTGATGCCGAGTCTTTTTCTGTCGTTTTTCTCTTTTTCTGCCTTTAATAATTCTAGCCCAAGGAAAAAGGTCGAAAAATTGTCTTCGTTTTGGGACCAGTAGGCCGAGTCTCTGTTTGCATCCATTATTGTCGCGACATATATTATTTTTTCCCGCGCTAACAATATTCGCTCGCACGAAAAAAAAAAATTTCTGGCGACGCGATTTGCTGACGCTATCAGCGTGCACTATCGGGATTTTGAGCACGCTTAAGTACACTGAATTTGATTTGCGCGGCTCTGCTAGCTATGTTCTAAAAGTTTGGAGACTCTAGTATCTATTCTACAGACCTGACTATGGGCCGAATAAACCATCGACCTATTGACCAACCCACCAGTCAGTTTACCTAAAAAAAATGTTGTGTATGGATCGAGTTCTGCAAAGTTACAGATCGCTGATCATTTTTGTCGTACCTCACAGATGTAAATGAATGTAATACAGGAGTCCACTCTTGTGAACATAAGTGCCACAACACACCTGGCTCTTATGGCTGTTCATGTTTCTATGGTTACAAACAAAGGGCCGACATGCGAACCTGTGAAGGTAGGTTATAACTGCTACCTCAGAACAGATTCAGCTGATAAATGGTTGTTTTCAGAGTCCATCAGCGAGTACGAGACCTCGAAATAAATGTTATTGAGCAATGGGTACAAAAGAATTAGGCCTCCAGGAATGTGTAGACATCTGCAATTACCGAGCTTTGAAAATTTTTCCCCTCGCCCTTATTTAGGACTTCCTTGTGAGAATATAAAAGCCCCACCTCATGGTCACATGACCTGCAGCGGATTTGTCACAAATGAGACATGTTTGTTTACGTGCGAGGATGGATATGAAATGCAAGGTTCGGAGAAAAGAACTTGCCTCAATTCTTCAAAGTGGGACGGACAGCAAACATCCTGCAAAGGTAACAACAATGATAATAATAATAATAATAATAATAATAATAATAATAATAATTTAACATTTATATTGCGCAAATTAACATGTAGATATGATCAAATGCGCATCACAACCCTTTTCGGGGGACTTTGGCCGGACTGCATCAGCAGTTTACAAACAATCGAAGGAAACTTATTTGAAGATGCCCCCTCCCCCCCAATTTCCAGTAAACAGACCAGACCACATCACAGTAATCTCGTGAGTGGGTTCTTTAACGTCCCCTGCCTAACCAAATAGCTGCAGGTGACGGGACCTACGGTTTATTCGTCCTTATCCGAGAAGACTAGAATGTCTATCCATTTCTTGATATCATAGAAAGGTAGCGCATTCTCCTCAGTAAAAAAATACCAAAGCTTAACGAACTTTTTGCATACCGATCCAATGGCTGAACACTTTTCAGATTTTCACTATAATATGTGGTGGGAAGGAAGTACAAACATTTCCCTGAAAAATACAAGTAATTTTACAATCAACATGAAAATGACTGGCCTAGTTTTCTCATTCGTAGCAGATTTCAGCAGGGTGAGTATTCAGTCTTGTCTTGTAGCTAGCACAAAATAGAGTAGAGAGTTCAATTTCATCTTAAGGTTACCGATACCCAGACACCCTGGAAACTAAAGAAAACCATGCATCGCTTTGATTTAGCACAAGAAATTTATCAAAATGGCTTAGTTCCAGATTATTTACGGAAAAATTTTGTTAAAGGTTGAGCAGTTCACAACAAGAACACAACGGACATTGTGCCACCAATGTATATTGTCAAAAGAAATTAATAGTTTTAAGCGGCAGCCTTTTAACATTGTTTCATACGAGATAATTTTGAATATAGTTTGAATAACTGTGTGCGTGTCTATGTATATATTTTGGAGAGCTATTTAGTGCAACGTAATGAATCGGTTTGGGCGTCGGAATCATATCGGAGATCACATGAGGCTCCAAAATGGAGGGTTTCAACTTTATCTTAAGGCTGCAATGTCCTCGTGAGAATTACAGGATAATCCTTAGTCCTGATTTGTCTTTTAGTTACTCACCAGATACTTTTCTCAGCAAATCAAGAGTATTTTCCATGGATCAGTCGAGCTTACTTTATACATACAAGCGCTTGGCGAGAAGCTTTCACTATCGTCGTCCTTATCCGAGAAGACTAGAATGTCTATCCATTTCTTGATATCATAGAAAGGTAGCGCATTCTCCTCAGTTATTTTAAGACCTTGAGTGTTGGTCCGGCTGGGGCTCGAACCATCGACCTCGACCTCCCGCACAACAGTCCGGCGTTCTAACCAATTGAGCTAATGACAGTTAAATGGTCAGCAGCTTCTAAGACTTCTCAGTTTTCCCTCTCTTTTCTTTCCGTGATATCTTTTCTACATGTTTGCTTCTTTCTCTAGAAAATCCTTTTGTTTATCATCTCCTGTTTCACGATCATTTTCTACGATAGAAATATCTTTTATGTGTGAAGAGTTCGTCACCGGCACCATTCAGATGTTTCCACTTACGCTGACATTTCATTAATACACGCGTTATTGTTAATCCCATAACTCAACACAGTGAAAAGTTGTGGTCGACTACATCCACCAGAGAAAGGCAAAGTTCTTCTCCCTTGTCACGTGACGTTTGGATCCACCTGCACACTTGACTGTATAGAAGGATACGTTTCCTTTGACAGCAACATTGCAACTTGCCGGCTTACAAATTCCAGTGACGTGGCATGGGACATAGGAAACTTTACGTGCAAAGGTACGAGGTATCCCGAGAAAATGGGCATTGATTGGAGAATTCATATCGTAGCAAAAACGTGCTCTGAACCCCTGTTACCTTCTTGGAAAACCTTACTCGGAGCAAAAAAAGTACACGACATATATGTAAAGACGAATTAGTTGTATCACTAAGTTAATGTTGATGATGTAAACTGGCCACCGTAAGGAGATTCTTGTAAAAGCTGACGCTTCGAGCGCTAGTCTTTCGTCAGCGAATACGGTGGCGAGTTTGTACTATCAATTTAGTTCATTAAAACGAATAATCTTGTAATACCCCTCACAGACGCAGCACCGCAGTTTCTTCAGAAACCTACCCTCCTTATATATTTGAAGAATTTGCTTGATCGACTTATTCCCGAACGCCTATGCCAGTGCTCTTAGGGTACTGAATTTTTACATTTAAAGGAGACCTTTTAGTTAAGATGTCATTCCTCCGCGAAATATTCAGTAATTTGTTCTTTTACCCGTTTGCTAAGTATCGTAATTTAAGTCTGTTTTAATTCAATCTAGAGATAAATCTTTGCAAGCCCAATCCCTGTCAGCATGGTGGAAGATGCATTCTTATCGATTCACAAAAATATTCATGTGATTGTCAGGATACTAGGTATGAAGGGAATCTCTGTGACCGAGGTGTTGTTACACTTCCTGATTTCCCAAAACTAATTCCTGGAAGATCTTCGGAAGATCTTTCATTACTTGCGAAACCTGACAATGTATTGACTGTTTTCTTCGATGCAACCCTGAAAATGACCTTCCATCCGAAGAGAATGATGATTCACTATCCATCAGATCAAGCCCAGTTTGAGGTGATTGGACACGAGTCTGGAGTTGGTATAGTGTCATATGACTTCACTGGGATGGACAAGCATAGTTTTGCGTCTCCCAAGGATAGCTCAGTCTTTGTTGGTTTGAACATATCAAATGTAAACAGTATCTTCACCAAACTGGGCCTTTTGAATGGCGAAGTACCAATCGGATTCCAAACGAAGAAACTAGAGAACTTCCCATGTGGGCTAAAAATAGCCTACCACTCCTCCTCTACCCCGCCAAATGATGTTCTCATCGAGTCAGGGCCTGTTCACATTATTACAGCCGACAACAAAACAATTCCTCTGAGTCTTGTGGGATACAATTTCGATTCCCCTAATCAATCGGGTCAAGAATCAGACTTGCTGAAAACACTTATCACTCAGACAAGCATCACCAACGCGGGCCCGATAGGCCAAACATCAAGCAAAATGTGCTCCTTTAAGCCAACAGCAGAAGCTTTGATTGAATTAATACAGGAAGACGCCTTTCCAAAGTCTTTCATGCGATACTTGACTGACCTGCTACCATTATGGATACGAATTACGGTTAAAGACGACAACACTTTATTTTCCGCAGAAAACATTCGAGCCGACCTCGTTCAAATCGCAAGCACGCAGAATACTTACCTGGATTGCAAGTTTCCTCCCCTTAATGTCCCCACTGCAATGGTCATATATCGTCCGAAAGTCACTTTTACCATCTCCACTGGAGGAAGGAAGATTTCTTTGCCCAGCAAAGGTTGTTGTTTTGCAACCGACCCTTGCGTTAGTGCAGTGTTCCTGGCGTTATCCGAAAAAGCTGGCAAAGAAATTGGCAAGATGTGCGTTTTGAAGGAGTTGACTGATAATGGCTGGGATATCCTGTTAACATCTTTTGGTTTCACCGCTCCCAAAAAATACCAAAGCTTAACGAACTTTTTGCATACCGATCCAATGGCTGAATACTTTTCAGATTTTCACTATAATATGTGGTGGGAAGGAAGTACAAACATTTCCCTGAAAAATACAAGTAATTTTACAATCAACATGAAAATGACTGGCCTAGTTTTCTCATTCGTAGCAGATTTCAGCAGGGTGAGTATTCAGTCTTGTCTTGTAGCTAGCACAAAATAGAGTAGAGAGTTCAATTTCATCTTAAGGTTACCGATACCCAGACACCCTGGAAACTAAAGAAAACCATGCATCGCTTTGATTTAGCACAAGAAATTTATCAAAATGGCTTAGTTCCAGATTATTTACGGAAAAATTTTGTTAAAGGTTGAGCAGTTCACAACAAGAACACAACGGACATTGTGCCACCAATGTATATTGTCAAAAGAAATTAATAGTTTTAAGCGGCAGCCTTTTAACATTGTTTCATACGAGATAATTTTGAATATAGTTTGAATAACTGTGTGCGTGTCTATGTATATATTTTGGAGAGCTATTTAGTGCAACGTAATGAATCGGTTTGGGCGTCGGAATCATATCGGAGATCACATGAGGCTCCAAAATGGAGGGTTTCAACTTTATCTTAAGGCTGCAATGTCCTCGTGAGAATTACAGGATAATCCTTAGTCCTGATTTGTCTTTAGTTACTCACCAGATACTTTTCTCAGCAAATCAAGAGTATTTTCCATGGATCAGTCGAGCTTACTTTATACATACAAGCGCTTGGCGAGAAGTTTTCACTAACGTTTTACGCCAACAGTGTGGTGGCAAAGTCACAGCTCGGAGGTAAATATAAACAATGCTTTCATTTCATTTTATTTTGTTTTCGTTTTGAGTACCTCAGTTTTTGTCTTGTTGTTGATCCTGATGTCTCCCTTCTCCTTGTTATCGTTCCTTTCTTTTCGGTTTTGACTAGTTCAGCTTTTGCCTTTTTCATGATCTTGATGGTTTGTTGCTAATTCATTGCATTTGCTTTACTAACAGTAGCCTCCTTGACAGGACCACCCCTTCTCTCATCGGAATGCCACGCTCAGCAAGGATTCACCTTTACCCTAGATCGAGAAAGCGAACCTTTTAAGAACAGCAAATTTTTAACCATTGTTAGACCCAATGGAGGCATAAAATATTTGCAAATCTACTACTCTATTAACGGTGGAGAAGATATCGCAGCATAGGATCCTAACAACAGCTTGAGATCTTTGGAATATCAGACGCAAGACATAAAGAGGGTCTTTTTAGATGTTCAGATATTTGTTCCTGAATTGCAAGAAACAACTCAAAGGTGGACTCCATATTTGGAAGAGACACTCGTTAATGTCATCAAAGCTCGAAATTTGCTCTCCTCATCCTCAGATCTCTTGAAAATAAAACAACTGGTTGCAGAGATTGACGACGATCTTGACAAGATACCGAGAGTCCTTGATCTCCTCATAGCCAGGTCACAGCCGTACAGGAATCGTTCAAACATTGAAAATGCCATCAGTCGCCTTCTCATACTCAAATCAGACCTTCCAATGACCATCTCTCTGGTATTCACTCAGTCGTTCATTCGGCAATCTTTTGCTGGTGTTCGTTTTGCCCTTGTGGCACAGATTTGTCACAAAAGACTCTGTTTCACCAACATCAACTGTAATGTTTGGTTCCTGACCGAGAACAACTGTTTAACCAATAGTTGTGGTATAGAGAGTGGTGTAATCGTCGAAGGAACTGCCTTGAGAGACACACCTCTTGGTACTACAATATCATTCCCTGCCCGAGGACCACTGAGAATGCTAATAAGCCGTAAAAATGAGCCACACCAGACTACATTTGAGTGTTTCGTTCGATTATTAGGAATGACCAAAAACACAAGCATACGAATGGTTGGAAATGAGCTCTTTTTTTCCATCTCGGGACCCATTTTTGGAAGATTCGAGTCGCTTTTAAATGTTACAACTGAGTTTGAAAATGTTGTGGAGTGGAAATCCTTACTGTTTGAAGTGAGGGGCACCATGAACAAGTCATCAGGTTTTCATATGATGCTGGAGAGTAAGATTACCAACGAGAATACTCTTGCAGCCAAAGAGGCAACTAGCAGATTGAGGAAGGCGAAGGCGGCCTTCAGTGCTGCCAAAATTAAAGCAGATGCAGTCAGGAAAATTCTAAAAGAAAAACAGACGATCGCCGAGCAGCTGAGAGGTGAAAAGGAAAGAGCTGCAAAGGATCTTCGTGTGGCACGTTTGCAATATCAGTTGGCAAAGCTGCGTTTCAATAACACGGTCTACCTTCATCGACATGTTCTAAATCCTGTGTGTGAAATAAGAGAGTGCAACTACACTTGTTTGAACGGCTGTGTTCACCCCACCTTCTGCCAGGACCCGATAAACATAACTTATCTTGAGCGATACTGTTACACTGTTGACAAACCAATGACAGTCAAAGTTGTGGAAAGCAGCACTAAAAAAAAACGTAGTTTCGTTTTGCAGACGTATCATACCGTGTATACTGGAAACTGTAATTATACTATGAAGGGATTTCCGGCTGGAACGCTTGCTGGAGGCTTTATTGGCAGTGTGTTTGGACCCAAAGGAATAGAACTCGGAGCGGTTATTGGGGCATTGATTGATGCGATTGGTGAAGATGTTGTTGGAAAGTTGAGCAAGGAAATATTTGGCTGTTCTAACACTTACGAGACAGTTCGTGGTGAACCGCGGCTTGTGGAGTACGAACAGAAGAGTTTCAAGTTGAAAGCTGTAGTCAAGATGATCAAGGAAGTTAAGTGCTCAGGCCAACAAGAGAAAACGAAACCTGGTGGATTCGGTCCTCCTTACCCCTGCTGCAAGCGATATGGATGCCAAACCAAAGTCATCGATCCTCTTTGTGTCAAACACAACGAGGATTGCTTTATGTCAATGACTGAGCTCAAATTTACGTTTGATGCCTTGAATGAAACTTTCCAATATGCCTTCCTGAATCTTAGGGAATCCGTTGACAAGGTTAAAGAGGCTACAGCTGTTTACGAGAGCGCCAGAATTCGTCATGAGGCAGCACTTAACGTGCTGCAAAAAGTAAAATCTTACACAGAGCAGAGCCTATCAGCGGTAAAAATTGTCAATGCTTCCAGGCTTCATGTTCGCCGAATCGTTGACTTTGGATTGAAAATATCCCAAGCTTTGAACGCCACCAATTCGAAAGGTAATAAAACTGTAGATGTTGGAGACCTTACATATTCCATAACCACGGCTTCAGAAGATACAAAAAAGATTCTTTTTCGATGCAACGTAAGCTCTACCAATAGTCAATCAACGTTGGTCTCTTTTGTAGTTGACTTCGATCAAGTCGAACGCTCAATCAGTTCTGCTTCCAAGACGATCCTTAGCAAGCTGTTTGGTGGAACATCCTCCAGAAAAAAGCGAAGTGCTCCAGAGGAACAGAGTCACTTTCAAAATTACACATATATAAAGACCTTACATATCAGCTTCACTGATTACCCTTATGCATGCCAGTTTGCCAATTCAACGTATTTGTTCCTGAACTCCATTCTTCACTCACTGGATAATCTTATTTCAGCTGCTAAAGGACTGGATGAAGAGCTATCTTCTGGGTTCCAAGTCCTTGACAGAATGACAAACACCATTCGTGGTAGCAGCTCATCCAACAATTTGTCGTGTAATTTCAACATTTCCAACAGTTCCTCGAGTAGTTCGTGTCAGACTACCTCGTTCGTGTCAGACTACCTGGAGATGATAGAACTCCTTAAAAATGAGAGTTCCCAAGTTAGAAATGACTCTTCACAATCTTGGAATGAAACTTTTGAGGCCTGGAGGGTATTCCTCGAGGTATTCACCCATAATAGCGAATTCCAAGAGTGTTCAGGTGCCATTGACTGTCTCGAATACCTTTTTGAAGGGTTAAGGGAATTTTACGAATTTGAAAACAGTCCACAGGCCCTAAGAATAAAAGACGCACTTCCTGAGCTAAAAGACATTTTAATGGCATTAACGTCTGAAGCCTTGACAATGCCAGAAACTGAAAACACGTTCCAAAAGGCTGTTTTTTAGCTGAATGAAATCCGTGACGATTCCGTCTTGTGTGGTGGAACGCCATACATAAACTCTTCACCTCAAAAGGAAATCATTGTCCTGGCCGGAGAAAGTTTATTGTTGCGTTGCACTGCTAAAAGTGAAGCTGAGATAAAGTATGCTTGGATGAGGAATGATAAGCTCGTTAACGAATCACTGGATGGAATTTTCTATGTAAGCGCTATCAGCAAACAACACGAAGGTGCTTATCTCTGTGTCGCTTCAAACAATAAAGGCAGTTCATTTTCTAACGTCACGATCGTCCAAGTTCATAACAAACCCAGCATCACTTTACATCCGCAACCACAAAGGGTAATTGTTGACAGTGAAATGCCTGCGACATTCATTTGTAATGCGACGGGTGAGCCAGCACCTACTTTTCAATGGTTTTTTATAACCATCAATTTGACTGTTGCAAAAGTAAACGAGACGAGGCCTGTGTTACACATGCCTCGACTTCGCCAACATCAAGATGGTTATTACTACTGTGAGGCATCCAACGAGCATGGTGTGGCAATCAGTCAGAAGGCCCGGCTTGACGTACTAGGCTACTCTGTGGGTCTTCCCAGGCTGCTTTTGGCCATGAATATTTCCTCTCCGTGCTGGCAGGCATCAAAAGCCTCCAACAGTTCTGTGCACGAAGCCCCGTCATGCAATTCCAGCTTCATGAAAGCTCTGTCGTCATCAGAAAACGAGACCTTGACCGATAACATTCTTCTTTCCTTAGCAAGATCACTTAATTTGTCCATTGAGTTTATCTCCGAGCTTGAGTACGGCTCAAGAAACGATCACATCGCCACCATAGCATTTATATTAGATATCGATAAAGAGGCTTGGAAACAATTCAATTTTACACGGCCCATGCATATAGTTGAAGCCGTCGCTGATGTTGGTGCTAATCTGATTAAGAAAGCGGAACTGCTCAATTCTAGCATACTGAACAAGACTTTTGAGGTGCCTTGGAACAACACCGTTGTTTATGGAGATCCTGGAAGCCTTCTTGTTTACCCTCTCTCTCCGAAATGTCCCGATGGACAGGCCCTCCACGAAAATGGTTACATTTGTGGTAAGCATAATATCGACTTTAAACCATCTCTTATAAATTGGCTCAGAATTAGAGCTAGAGACAGAGTTGGAAAAAGTTCTGCTAATACCTCATCCCAAACACTACAGCCCTGTCTCAAACTGCAAACAATTTTAGCCAACGTTGTGGAATCTGGTGGGATCTTTCACGACTTAGACTTCAGCTTTAAGTTCAGTTGTATTCGAACTTATACTTACTGACTGTTATAAAAAGCCCCTCTCTGATGTATTTTTTGAGGCTTTATTTGCTTTACCCTCTTAGCGTACGTGTTAACCATAAGACTTGCTTCATAAAGAATTTCTGAATTGTCTGATCCACTTTTTTAACATGCAGTGTCTTTATCTCCTTAGCAAACTGTCCGGCTGGCTCATCATATGTAGAGGAGAATGAAACATGCGCAGAATGTCCGTTTGGAACTTACCAGCCTGTGCAAGGACAAACAAGATGTATTTCCTGTGGCAAAAACCTCACCACAGCCTTCAATGGAACAGTGGAACAATCAGATTGTATTGGTAATATCAAATATATATATTTTAACTCGGTTTAATTCAGGTGACATTCTTGGCTTTGTAAAGCAAAAAGTATTCCAGCAAGTGTAATATATTGTATTTCACTTCCGTCAACCGAAAAATACCTTCTGTGGTCTTCCCTGCTTCAAAATAGGCACAGTGAATGTTAAAAATGTCTGAACATCAACGGATTTTTAGAAGCTTATAATGGAGATGAAGGAATATTACAAAAATTTAAGAAGTCAAAATCAACCAATCGGGTTAGTAAAAAGCTATTCGTGAAATCAATCTCTGATGAATAAAATCCAAGTATCTCCGTTGTTTTCGTCAAAGTAGGCTTACAATTGCCCAACCTGCTTTTGTATTCCGGGTTTTCTATTTCATTTCTTACTTCGTTCGAAAGCTCACCGACTCTGAGGTAAACATACCATTAATTTCACTTTTTTCTCTATCCTGTACTCCTTCAGCTGATTGTCCAGCTGGTTCCTACAGCGCAAAGAACAGAACATGCTTTTTGTGTCCGCTTGGCATGTACCAACCATCCCCAGGGAAGTTAGTTTGTCTTTCTTGCAGCAAAAACCAAACAACAATTAACACTGGTACTGTGGGAGAAATGCACTGTATTGGTAAGTTAATACTCGTCACATTTTGAGTTCATATGGTGGGCGATTGAAGATATAATTTCTGGCCACAAAACGTTAGCAAATTGGCTGGCATGTACACTTCCTATTCCTTTCATGTTACGTTTTGTCAAGAGAGGTTTAAGTCCTCTTTTGGTTGTGTGTAGTACTGAATTCACCGAAAGAGGAAAAACGATAAAGACGAAATCACGATTGGTTGTAGTTTTAATTGATTGATTCAAAGGAGGTGCAGGCTTACGAGACAATTCTCATTACTTCTGACAAAATTACTCCAAGAAAAAAGCCTCTCCGGCAGAAGAAACGTCGACAAATTATAAGAGAAAGGGAAGAATTTTTTCCGCAGTTATGTAGTAACTAACGATGGGTATTTTTTCATCTTTGTTGTATTGACTGTTCCGAGTCTTCAGTGAACTCTGAAAATTGTAATTGGTATATCGCAAAAATTATCGTGGGGAATTGTTTAATCATTCCTTGAGCAGCGATCTCTCCTGCCGGCTCGCACAGATCTGTGAACCGGATATGCACTCTTTGTCCGCTTGGTTCTTACCATCCCTCAGATGGTTCGTTGGATTCCTTCCCTGTGGACAAGGTTTCACCACAGCCTCGTCAGGAGCTGTCGGTGAATACCAGCGTAAACGTAGGCTTTCGCTGTCTGCTACAACATTTACGACTAGTTTCAAGACTTTGTGGATCAAATCATGTAGAGTTTAAACGTTTACAAGATTGGGAACTGCTATTTTTACTTTAAACATGACAGAGAAAAAAAACAGTTCCATTCAAAAACCAGTTACTGAAGACAAGACAACCATTTCTACACCATTGGCGACATCGCGAAATGTTGAATTGAAGGTAGGTAGATTTTCAGATTTTTGGACTCGCAAGAAGACAACAAGGCTATCTGGCAGTTTTTCTTTTAATGTTCTCGGTAAGAAACTGAGATGTTGAAACTTTTCAAAAGCAAATGGTGAGCTGGCTAACAAGCTAAGGAGAGGCTCATTTGGAAGCTGCTTGTCACTGGTACTTTGTAGTTATTTGTCGCGCGCCATTGGTAATTGCCAGTAGGCTCCTTTTCCTATCTCTTTCATTTCTCTTACCAGACAAGCACCAATGAACAGCCTAGAACGAATACTCAAGAAGAGGCTAAAAACCAGGAAAATGCTGAAGAGTTACCATGGAAACTTCCCGTCATCATTAGTGCAGCATTACTTGCAGTGTTAGGTAGGCCAAGTACAATCATAAGCGTCTGTCATTCTCTTTTTAACTGATGTCTGGATAATTAAGGAGCAAACGTCTAACACTCTTTCAACTGACAGCAAGCGCACCTCGAGTTTCGTTACTCATTTGACCCTTCTGCATAATAGAAACCGCAAACATCCAAAGCTCAGAAAACCGAAACATGTAATTGTGTACACAAAATCGTCGTCTGTGTTAACACTAGCGATACTCGGCCATAAAGTTTCGTTATTTTCTCTTGTGCCTTGCAGAATCTGATTGTTGAAAGTTGGTCCGCGAGTTTCTTGTGTCAAACAATTACTTTTTTGGTGAACATTGATACGCGGTCAACCCGTTTTCCTTTGTTTCGATTTTGACTCTTACCGTATTTTAATCAGCGCTAGGTGCCATACTCTTCACCCGTATGAGACGGAGACCTAAAATAGAACCAAGGACGGTGCAGTTTGTCAATCCAATCTACGCATTCCCCGATCAATAGCCACCAAAACGAGCAAAAGGCAATGAACATTCATTAGTGGACGAGCCAGGGCAGGCCACATTCAGCCGTACGCGTGAAGATGGTTCTGGAAAATATAACGACTACACTGGGGACTTCAAAACCAAGGATGCTATAAAGAACTTTGCCACTGAAACGATATATGAAAATTTCGAATGGTCCTCAGAAGAGAAAACCACATTAAGTTTTACAAACCCATGCTTCCAGTGAGGCAGCCATGGCTCATTGTGTTTGATCAAGAGATCAAATGATCTCTTGCTTTGGTTATTTCTCCCTTTTTATTTTGAGTAGATTTTCTTTGTTCGCTTAAGTCAGAACACTTTTTCACGTTTGCTTTGACTAGGAGACAGGAAAGCCGGTAAAGTTTAGAGGAAGGAGTGCAAGTGGGTGGAATTCTCGACAGGTGTAAGAAAAAGATGCCCACGAGTGCAAAAAAAGAGAGAATTCATATGAGAGTTTCCTTCCCTCGGCTCTAAGTTTAAGAATTTCAAAGTAAGCCCCTACCCTTTCTAATACCTGTTTTGATGCTTCGTTCGAGCGAGTGTTAAGGTTCAGCAATTGTTAATGCTGTCGCATTAGACTAGTACAGCGGCATTTAGTTTAAATTTTGTTTACAGTCTTCGCTCGGACAAGTGACACATGTTTTCACTGTTCGAGACAAGGTTGTACCTCGGCCAACCTAAACGAATTTTTATGTACTCGTCCTATATAAACGGAAAGACTAAACGGAAACGGAGGGCGATGTAACAAGGAACCTAAGGAGTGATTAAAGGTACAAACAATTCTACTGACGAGGCCGAGCGTTTTTAATCTTCAGGACAGTATTTATTACCGACGGTTACAGCAATATATTCAGCTAGAAAAAATATCTCAATTTAAAAGGTTAATGCATCGTGCAATCCGTGAATATCTCTCGCGAGATGACGGAGGGGAAGTTTTTTAATTGGAAAACCTTGTCTAAATATATCTTAATTCATTTTAACATTATAAATCTTTTTAATTTGTTTTTAAAGTCAAGTTCAGCATTTTTACTGAGGTATTATGTGTGCGGGTATTTTAGAGATAAAGGCATACTTTCATTTCTAACACGAGAGTAGAATTTATTAATTACTAAAGAATATTATCAAGAAAAAAATTAACTCAGTGGTTTAAGTAGAGCAGTCAGTGGATCTTTAAACAATTCTTTGAGCAAATTTAAAATAGGGTTTGGTTTCACATCTTAAGATGTATCTTGTGTGTTAAATCTCATTTCTGTCGCTATTTGTGTCCAAATGAAATCAGCTTGTGATGTCTAGGGCTCTATTCAGAGATTAAACGCGGATAATTTGACCCAATCCAGGAGCTAATAGCCTTGGCTTACAAGAAGTTTCGGGGTTGGAGCAATTCACCAGGAGTACTTAGAAATAATCTTTCTCCTCGCAACGTCGGCCGTATCATGCACAAGGTGATGGCATAGAGGTTGGCCTCCGGAAGAGATTTGCGAGTGACAATTGGATTTATAGCACTTTGGTCACATTCGACAGCATCATGTGAACACTGTTGCATGACAGTTTGTTTGGATAGAGTTCGAAAAAATGTTGATTTAATGGAGTTTTCCAATTATAAACTTCCAGAAGCCAGCTGGAATTCCCATTAAAAGCTGTGCATGCATCGGCAATCGAATGCACTTAGACTTGCATGCACGCAATGTACCGAAAAAAGGCAATTTGACGGTAATGAATCAGACGGTAGAGTTCACGGAGCGGAAATTTCTCAGCTGGTCAGAATTCCAATTAATGAAATTAAATTGTCGGAATGAGGTAAAGGTAACTTGCAGGATGACCACAATTAAGAAAAATTATTGCAGAAAAAACAACAAACAAACAGAACCTAGAGAGAATGCAATTAGGCCGAAGGAAATCTAAATTGGCAGAACGTAGATCGACATTTTGAAAATACAGTGATTTGTATATATCTTAAAATAAGTGGAATTTTCTCTCTGTAGATTACCATTAAGACTTCTTCTAGTAGCGGGATTTAAGCTTTCGGAGCAAAAGTTATGCGGTTCGCCATATTATGTTACTAATTGCATTGCTTAGAAACTGTTCGCTTCACATATATCAAGTGCAAACAAGTGTGCTGAAAGCATAACTACGCTCCCAAATGTGTGTAGTTCTCTTAAACCTCCATTAGGTAAGTTCGTCGGTAGAAAGTATTAGATTTTGAAGAGTCCCATCTGCTGAGCAGTATATACTTCAGTTATGTGCTTTTATTTTGAGGCCAATCTAATTAATGGATCGAAAAAGAAGGAAAAACAATTTTTGCTATATATGGCATGTCGATCTGCACGCGAATTCGGTTTATTCTGTTGCTTTAACACAAAAACGCGAAAATGTTTTCGCAGCAGAAATTTTGTCATCTAGAACGGAAAAAAATCTGTTCCTGCACAAAACAAAATTACCAGTCCGTAAAAATGATGTCAGTGATACACTCCCGTAAGATTTCTTTTGGAATTTTACTCGCTGATTTATTTGCTTCAGGCACGAGTTCATAAGAACTTTCCGTAAAATCAGTCAAAAGTGAATCAGTGCACTTACTGGAAATTTAGTGCCGATCAAAAATGATTTTCCGGTAGAGACGATTTCGCTCAGACTTGAGAGAACAGTTGTTGCTGATTAGAACGAACTACTGAACGCCGGTGGCTGAGATGATTTTCATGCCGCCAAGGCCATACCTTCTGCGTCGCAGCTTAGAGTATCTGTTTCGAAACAATCTATATCAAAGAATACAAAACGTGGAGAGAGCATTGCATTTTGAAGTTACTGAGTAAAATGTTTGACGACCTCTGACGGTATATTAATCAGATACAGCGGCATGCTCGTCATTGATCAGATTCTGGACTATACGCTACGCTGTCACATAGAGAAAGCCTCTAAACGAGAAACAAAGGTAGAAACAAAGCCAGAAAAACAGAAACTGACAGAACATAAACAATTAAAGTGTTGTGAGTTGCTAACGGAAATCACCAGTTCGGCAGAGATACAAGTGAATGTCTATTTATGAGCACGAATGCGGATAATTCTGACCTTTCGAACCGAAAGAAAATTGTACTCAACTCGGGTGTTACGCGATCAGGCGTTCATCTGCAGTGCGTGATCTTTGTTTAACGTACAACAAGAAAACTGCCGGTAGCTGTAGTGGGGTGCGTTCATTGTTTTGCGGTTTTTGACTTGTTGCCAAAAGGTGGGACAGGATTATTAGTTCGCGTGTTCAAAACTGAGTCACGAAACTTCTCTGAATGACGATACATTTCTTGCTGAGCAGCACGTTTTCCAGGCGTGTTCTTAACACGCACCATTTCACAAATTGAATAACGCTTAAAGGCTTAACAGCCCCCTATATTAAGTCTTTTGATTTTCAGATTGATCTCCCAAACCACAATTGTCTTAGTTGGCAACGCTTCCAACTGCCACGCGCACGAGCCACTGAACGAAATTAATTTTTAGAGTTTTTTGGTTTCCTAATATTTGTTCTCTGACTAACACCTAACATTGACTTGAAATATCAACAAAAACAATACATATTGAATAGCGTATCGTGAATATATATTCACAGCTTGTCGATTCATAGCCCCCTGATGAATTCACCGCCAGATATAACCTCCAGATCTACATGTCTTCAAAACGCGCTAAAAGTGTTTTCAAGTAGTCTTATACCTACGTTACTTTGGCAGCCATGCAACAGAAATACAGTAAATGCACTTGTTCTTACAGTTTTCCTGAAATGATTGTTATCTCAGAAATTTGCTGAATTTACGTTTTCAATAGATTTGCACCACCTCTGGGCCGGTATTTCGCTCAATTTTCCGAATAGCTGCTAGCTTAACGCCTGCTTCGGTAAAAATCTCTTGCCATGATTGTAAGACGTGCCGTAAAACTTAATTTCCGGCGTATACCAGAAATGTATAGATTCCTTGAGATAATTCGAGGTAAGGCTGTTAATTTTTGGCGATATTAATCCGCGTATTAACTGATCACCCGTCGATGGAAAAGAGAAGCTGCGAAATTAGCCAAAGGTATTCAATATTGCGTGACTAATATGAAAACCCCGGGAGACGAACTGAATGACAAGGTACATTGCGTAACAAAAATACCCCTAAAATGAATGCCACTGCATAGTTTCGCAACAAAAAAGAAGCGTGAACAGTCAGCTAAAGATCTTGTTGTAGCGTCATAAGATTGCATGCGTTTAACCTTCCGGTGTAGTAAGAAAACACCACGCAGAAGCATTCATCACCTTGTCAGATTGAATTATTCTTCGAGATTGACACGTGAGTAACCAAGTGGACTATTCAATACTTTGACCTTTTTTCAGATAGCTGACGTTTTCATTATCCCGACAATTCTTAGCTGCGTCAAAGATTGACTGTCCTTTGTCCAGTGGTAGACGTCCTCAATCTGTCTACAAGCGACGCCAGCTGACAACAAGAAGTCACGCTTTTCCTAGTTTCTTTGACTCCGGCGGTCTATCGCGATCATGATAGTACTCGGCATTTGTGCGGTCGTAATCGTGGTTTTTGCGATAACTGCAGCGATGAGCGACAAGCTTCGTGAAGCCGTAATATCATCGAAAACCTACAAGAAAGGTTTTGCCGTCCATATGAACTTATTCAGTCGCATTCACAACAGCGCCGTCAGAAAACACAAAGAGGACATTTTCGAGAAACTGAAACCATGCGCGGAAAGTGTTGGAGGTGGCGATATTTTGGAGATCGGAGCAGGAACCGGGGCAAATTTTGAGTTTTTCCCCGAGGGAAGCTCTATCATAGCACTTGAACCAAATCGTCACATGGTACCATACTTGCAGGAAAACGCTCAAAAGTTTCCGCATGTGCAGCTCAAGGAAATCGTTCTAGGATTTGCCGAAAAAATGGAAGGGATTCCAGATGAATCTGTCGCCGCTGTTGTATGCACCTTGACACTGTGTTCAGTGAGTGACGTAGACACAACTTTGTCAGAAATCAAGAGAGTTCTGAAACCTGTAAGTACGCAAAATATGTCTCAAAAAAACATTTGTATGTAGAATTTCTACCATTCAGTGGACTCGCTCTTTTCGTAGTTACAGATCACATGTTATGTTCATGATAGAACTTCAACCAAAATTGCTCAAAATGATAATTTTTAATTTTCCTTTTACATTTCGAGCGACTCTCCCTTTTCCTCCACACGATTGCATTTCCCTTCCATCTGCCACGGGTATCAGATCTTAATCCTCGAATCCTTATCTCTAATTTTCCAGGAACTAGCCAGCTATTTCGTTTTTAGGAATGTTAAAAAAACTGAATTCCATCATTATAAATATGTAGGAATGTGCGTGTTTTTAAACATCGAAGACGGACAATATAAACAAATGTTAATTCCGATAATTCTGATCCTATTTCAATTATTTGATTGTCTCATAATTGCACACTTCCACTTAAGTGGCGCAAGGAAAATTACCAAACTTCGACATCTCGTAGAAAACGGATGTGATGTGAGGACATGACTTAAACGAAGTTCAAATGTCATTTCTAAGAACATTGTTTCAAAAATAGCGAGAAGTCGTCGCTATTTTAGACTGCCCATCAAATTTTAATTGGATCGGAAGTATTTGATATAGCACGCTTAAGAGGAATCCATTTTTACAACCAATAGTTTGCGGCACCCGAAAACAACTCTTCGAAATCGCAATATTTTAACTTGCACAAATTCTTTATGCGTCTCCCTAACGCACATATGATAACCTTTAATTTGAATATCGATTATTTTTTTCGATACCTGTTACCTATTTGAACAGAAAAGTGTGAAATAAGTATACGTTCTGTAGTTATTGACATAGTAATTACTTTTGGCAAAGGCAAAGAAAAGCTCTCTTGTTTGGTTTTGAGACCATTTGATTGGAGAAAGTTCCCCCGACAAAACAATTTGAAACGAGATGTTAATGCCTTGTCATTTTATCTAAACGTTTCGTATCAAATTAGTGGTTTTATATCAAGGAATCGCAACTTAAAAGCATATATTTTCGTCTATCAGTTGGGGTTTTTCAACGATTTTTTTAGGAGAATATAAGATTGTTTTGATCGTGGGAAGACACTAGTGGTATGCTTTGTGTTCGCCGCAAGAAGCAAAAGTTTCGCGAAGAAACGAAAGGCATGAAAAAGGCAATTGAGATTGAAAGAGAGATTGGGGTTTAGCTAAGAGCCATTTTGGTGATGTTGACTTATTTTGTTTAGCTTTCAGTTGAGTTACAGAACCCGATATGAACGCGAGAAAACCACGATAACCTTTAATGTGTTTATATCTCCTAAAGGAAATATTGACGAAAAATGTTTATTTGAAAAAACGTCCGGTAGCTAGACTTTGTTTACCCGAGCCATGTGCATAAACAATTCAAAATATTCCCTTCGCTAAGTGTGCATGTCAGATGACAAAACTTATATTCTAATATAATTTCCGCTGTTTTGATTTTTCTGTTTTGTCTAATATCATTTCCGCTGTTTTGATTTTTGTGTTTTGAAACCTAAGTCGTGCCATATGATTTCTTTGCAAAGAAACATAACATTTAGAACAAAAAACATTCTTGTAAGGATACATCATCCTGTTGGAAAAGCACGATTTTAAAAATGTCTGTTATTTTGTTTTTTTTCAGGGAGGTTATTTTTACTTCTTGGAGCATGTAGCAGGTATGTGGCGTCGTAAGAACTAAGTCCAATTCTTTCTTCTATATATAAGACTTAGGTCTTTCTGGCCGATAATTCGGGGAGGTTTTTTCAAGCGAAGGGCCTTGTAAAAGATTTGCGTGATGTTGCGCTTTCGCGATTGTTCTACCAGTTTGTTTTGTTCGATTTTTTACTTCGTTACTGGTGTAATCCCGCGAAGTAAATAGCAATGGGAGTGTCCTTAAGCTTGGCTGATGAAAATGTTTTGGCAAACTTGTCTTTTAGAGTAAATTTCCGACCGCAGGAAGTTGCTTACGGAAGTCACCGGACGTTGAACTACGAGGAACTTTGCATTAGCAGCTGCCAAAAAAAGCAGCTGATAATTTTGGCATTGTATCAGCAGTTACATAAGGATCTTCCTGTTTGACCGGAGGTCAAACATGACGTGGGGTCGATTTACGCCAAATATAATCCTTTCTTCCTTTTCTGTTCAAATCACGTATTGTACTTTGCACAAAATTGCGGTAAAAATCGTTTTACGTCAGTCACTAAACTTTAACATCGTGTCTATCGATTGCTATGTCCGGCCATCGGTCCGGCAGCAGCCTCGAAATTATCAACCGAAAGCGCCGAAAAAATCAGTTCGGGCCAGCGACCGGAGCGCGAGACTCGTGAGGATGATCCCAGTCCTCTCCGGCGATCGCTCGGTATTTCGTAGCCCGATAAAGGACTTGAGAGCACTGCGTGACTTCCGTTCGGCTGTTGACGTGTCTTTTAGTGGTTTTCCTGCCACTTGAGGGTTTAAACACGGCATACTGATGAAAGACGAATGAGTAAAATCTTAAATTGCCTTTTAACATATTTTCCGTATTTATGTCAGCCACTGCGATGAAACTAAGAGCACAAGACAATCTTACCTTCTTCCGCGTATTTGAAACTGTTCATATACAAAGGAAATTCCGAGAGTTGTTTCCCTTTTGTCCTAATTTCCTGGAGCTTAAGAAAATTATTCTCAAGACTAAGAGAAGCTGCTCCATTTTACTTAGTAATTTGGATATATCAACAAAGTTGAAATGGTAAATTGGCCACCGTAATGATTACCAAAGCTGACGTTTCGAGCGTTAGCCCTTCGTCGGAACGAATAGAGGAATTGTGGGTTGCGTGTGCTTTTAAAGGCAGAAAATGGAGCTACGTTATTGGTGGTTACGTTATTGATCTTTTTACTTCGATCTAAGCAGGCCGTGGAGAAAATTTTTCAAACATACTTAATTTGCTTTCTTATGCGCATCAGATGAAACAGAAACATGGAGGAACTCCCTGCAGCGAAGATTTGACAAGCAGTGGAAATATCTCAGCGACGGATGCTCTTGCAGTAGAGAAACATGGACCCACCTGGACAATGCCGGCTTCAGTACCGTGTCTTATAAAAAATTCGACCTAAAAGAACTTATTGTGCTTTGTTACCTTATGCGGCCTCACCTAGCTGGGTATGCCATTAAATGAGGTGGCACACATGGGGTGTGTTGCCCCACGCAAAGTTGGGTGAGTAACGCGCGACCCTCAACAAGACAAACCCTTTGACATCCACACCAGGGAGAGGTTTCTTTTGGTTCACTATGTTTTATCGCTTTTTCACCCCTAGGGAGGGTGCCCCAAACAAATATTGACACGAGGTGATCGTGATTTTGACCGTAGACTACTCTGAGAACTCGCACTTTGTGTCTTCTCAGACAATTCGCTCACCATTAGTGCTTTTTCTCAGTCTTCATTGGCATTAACATAAGACAAAAGGGTTTAAGAATTTATCTTACGAACCGTTAGTAGTATTTTGGTATCTAAAATTCACTGAAGAAAACCTCCTCCCAACTGTTGTATATATTTTTATTTCCTCTTTCCATGGGATGTTTTTCAGCGTAGTTTTTTTCTTTTATCTAGCGCACGTTAAGTATCTCAGCACACACAATTTAACTGATATAACGTTGACAGTCGTATCAAAAGGAGTTGATCAAAGTAGATTATTTATCGTACACGACACATGTAGCCGCGTATTTGTAAATGGTATGACTCATATTATACTATTACGCATGTAGGGAGTTACGACGGGAAAAACAGAAATACATCGTCAGAAATTGTACTTCCTCACCAAAGGGTTTAATAATTGTTTACCTTTGTACATCAAGGCACTAAGTATACCTCACTATTTCAGGCGTTGTTTGTAATCGATGTCATTTAATTTAAGAGATCAGGATGTAGTCATCAAATTATTTATTGCATATTGTGAGAACGTGGTGTCATGCGTGGCTCGCATAAATTATTTTAACGAAATGCGAGTTACAATAGCACAGTAGTCTTATAATTGAACAATTCCAAGTTAAAGTTATAAAACTTTTTGGTATAGATTTGTGAGATTTTTGCAAATTTGCCTGATATAGAAGGCGTAATTTTCTTCACCGATTGATACTCAAGTTACCAATTTTTCTCTTTGATAGCAGTTCAGTGCTAGGTTTAGGTACATTTCGTGGAGAATAAATTAATAAAACGGAATGTTTGTAAAAAAAACAAAATATACTATAATCGTTACTGGGCATAATTAAGTAGTAATCTCCTCTGGAACAGAGAGATTCTCCTTTAATTCATTGTTGTCCTTATTGCACGAAAAGGTATACTACATTATCGAAAATAAAATTATGAATTCCAGAAGTATGGTTCAATTAAAACCTCCATTTTTTTTACATTCCCAGGCGAAAATTATGGCGTGGGGTTTGGAAACGGGCTTGTTGCGCTCAAGATGGTCGGGCTTGGGGAGCCTTGACGTGCAAAATGTCAGCTGACTTCCATAGAGGAAGTGTGCGTTGCATTTACACCTGATATCGCCGTTAGTGACTCCATGACATTTGTACAGTTTCACAAAACTCACTTTCATTTATATTGAAAATTCTTTCCTTTGATGTCACGTGTTATTTAAAAATTACAAATCCTATGTCGCATCCCATACACTTGGCCTCGTTCTCGTGCTCTGCGCCCACAGACAGGACCCAGGCAACCTAAAAATACCTTTTATATTACACTTATTCCAGTCAAATTACTTTTTTCTAGCGATTCTACCAAGATTCCCCTTTTGATCCAAATCACAATCAAATTGTAGCTAATCTAACTTTGTGAAATTTTGTCTTACTTCCAGAGAGGGGTACCCTTCCTCCGGAATTCAGTATAACAAGAGTTTATTACTTAAGAAGCCTCGTCCTGTTAATATATAATTTTCTACCTTGATAACACAGACGAGCTGTTCATAAATATGAAATCCGCAAATTAAGTATGGAGTGAAATTTAACCTTAAAAGACACATCTTTCAAAGTAAGATGATTTTTCAGACTAAAATTCACTTTGGAACGGTAAACATGTAATGGTAAGTACAGATTATATTCAGAAGATCCGATGGTCCGAAAAGAGAATTGAAAGAACTTAAAAGTACAACAGTGTGTTGACATTGACCAATAACCGTAAAAAAAAAATATATTTTTCCTCTACTTTCTCTCTGGATGCACCAATTATAGGGAGAAAACTTTCTACAGTTTAAAAATAGTTTTAACATTTTGAGCTATTATCGAAAAAATGTACACTTCTTTCTTATTTTTTTTTTCTGAAAATTCAAAACATTATCTTCCAGAGTAACGAATCAAAGAAGAGAACAAAACACCATTACCATAGTGATCGCGCGTAACAAAGTGAGTTAACGAGGAAATTCGATTTGAAGTCTGCGTTTCATGCTCACCCTTCATCCACTTTTTCAGTTTTATACCGGATCACACACAGTACAATTATAGACAATGTTTTACTTCCCCCACAAGCAACAAAAAAATATCTCGCATAAGTCATTGATATCAAAGCATTGATTCACTTTCTAGGAAGCGATTGGTCACACGGTTACTTATCCCATGTGACGTAATACCCCTTAGGTAATTTTCACCCCCTACAAGGTCACAGTGTAACATTATTCCACTCCTCACCTACACCAAGCACCAAAGCATGTTCTTGTGAAATCGCCGCTAGTTCTTTCAGCCACTCCTCCAAGACTACAATACAGTAGACAGCGTTTTTCACAGTCTTTGGATTTTTCCTCTTATATGTGTTCTTTGAAAAGGAATTTTTCGGTGAGTTTTGGGGGTTAGAAAGTTTTCTAATGGTACCCGGTTTGGGATAGTTCTCGGCGCTTAAATCAGCGGTGCTCCCGAATTTGGGGCTTAATGAGTGTAAGCTCTCCCACGACTCGCTTAGGGACAGACTTGAGCTGGTGCTTGCACTTTCTAGACTTCCCCGCCTTTCCTGGTTGGCTATCGCCAATTTTGGGCTCAAGGAAACATCCACTGATTGTTTTCGAAGATTGGAGCTTCCCTTACCAAAATATTTCGGCGCGGGGCCGTCTTTAAGCAAACGAACGTTGCTCAACAATGAAGAGTCTGTTTTCTGCTTTAACAGCTTTCGAGTCGATGTAGGGCTTCTAGTTTCAGGGTTTTTTGATAATTTCACTGGTTGTTGTATATCCGCAACGACGCTCTGAATACTAACTCGGCTCTTTTCCTCGCGAAGAATTAGGTTCTTTCTTGCACGGCGCAGGAGTTTGTCAAGTTCGTCAACTTGATCAGCGATGTTCTCCACTTTAATTTTCACTGAACTAAGGATCTAGGTGAAATACAACAACAAAATTATCTTAATTGCAAGCATGATTCTTTCTCAAAGTCGCAACAAAGTTATAAATGAAAAACAGCTTCTAGCTGGCGCGAAAACTCACTCGGATATTAATTCGCAGACATTACCGTTCTGAAAGCGAACCTCAAAGAAAACTGTAAGCGGCGAGGAACAGATGGTGTCCAAGGACATATGGGAGCATAACTTCTACCTAAATAGAGGCTATTGTGTCTAACAGTATTGAAACATTTTTTGTAGGGCACAAAAATTGGATGAAAACGGATGTTAGTTTTCTAGAGGAACTTAATGTACGCAAAAGGAAACAATGGATGAATATAAAATAGGGAACATCTCCTACCTGAAATAATGAGCGCACTCCTGGTTTTAGAAGCATGTTGTAATTTAGAAGAAACGATCGAAGTAGCGGTTGAGGATATAAGGCCAGTCTGGTAACCACACCAGTCAAAATCAAGTTCACATAAAACGTGTTCTGCGGCATTCGCTCCACTTTCTGAAACAGCGTTGTTAAAAACGGTCCTAAGTCCGGTTTCATTTGCTTCTGTTCAAACTCAGTCGCTGATATAGAGCGCTTCACGGGCGCATGCGCATCCTGAGGTGAAAGGAAAACCTGGTTCGGAATGTTGCCATTGACAACAGGCGCGGACACAATAGATGAGGATCGCTCTCGTTCTTTCGAGGAAGGGTCCTGTATGGAAGGATTTTGTCCGTCATATGGGGCGGACCAGCAGGCACACTTCATTTGACAAATTCTCAATAAATTTCGCGCGTCTGCAAGGTACTCCATGTAATCTGCACAAACGTCCGAGTAAAGATCTCCAAGAAAAGAGGACCGGTAGAACACCAACTCGCTGGACGCTTTGAGGTCGATCTTCATGGGCGTGCTGGGTACACTTCCGTTGACATTCTCGGTGGAAGAAGACAGTGAAGAGTTGCTGCTGGAGTTATTACAACAGGAAGGTATCAATGACAGGAATTTAAATGCGCTCTTGCTGTACAGATCCACTTCCTTGATGGTTCTTCTTTGGCTGCTCAGAATGTGCGTGCAGGGAATCAGATATCTGTCGAGGAGTCAGTTGTATGGTTCAGGTATTGAAGTGATAGCCAATCAGTTTAGGCCCTAGAGGCCAAGTCACTCATAAATGCAACTGCTCATCCCTGTTTCGGCCACATGAAGCGACTAAACGAGTACATCTACTTCTAGTCGCTTCATGATGGGACGCTAGTCCATTGCAAATTACCTCCCTAGCATTTCATCACGCTTCCCTGAACAGTTTGCATTGTAAGAGCCAAGTACCTTGCCTAATCTGCACTCAAGTCAAGTGGCCCTTTCAGTGGGAGCTTATCCTGGTTGCCTTAGCATGAAGCAACTAAGTCCGATTACATTTGCTTTCGTTCAAACTCAGTCGCTCATATAGAGCGCTTCATGGGCGCATGCGCATCCTGAGGTGAAAGGGAAACCTGGTTCGGAATGTTGCCATTGGCAACAGGCGTGGACACACTAGATGAGGATCCCTCTCGTTCTTTCGAGGAAGGGTCCTGTATGGAAGGGTTAACGACTCCACCCACCACCAGGCTTTTCATCAGCTTTCACTGCCAGTTTGCCTGTAGCTTTTTTTACTCCTGGCTGCACAGAGACTGGTTTGTACTTTTGAATTACAAGCCCTCTTTTTTGTAAGAAATCAAAAGCACCTAAGAATTCACATTCCTCATGAACCATTCCCTCCCGTCTAATCCAGCTCTAGGGAAACTGAAGATAAAAAGCTTGGTGTATGCAAGAAAAATGGTCTAAATTACGTTGTTGAGGGAGATGGTATTTGAGATAACCTGAGTTATTTAGTACAGTGCAAAATACAGAACCAGTGCACTACGTAACAAGAATCAATTTGATATCATTAACAGAAGGTATGGAAACTCACTTTAGCACCAAACTGTAGATGATGTCTTCACAGTTCAGGTCCAACAGAGTGTAAAACAAACCCAGTGATACAACAGCAAGCTAAGACAATTAGTGAAAAAAAATGCATTCAATGTACATGTATCACTGAAGACAATACTATTGAGCTGTGAGAACAATGTATGTGGAGAAAAACAGCTCAACAAAGTGACAGTCTTTATAATAACTGATACTATCATATCACTCAGTTAGTACAAGCCCTGTTATTGGTCAATTTGGTGGGCTGTTTCACTGTACAACTTATTCAAGCAAAAGTTTGATCGAATTGAAATCTCCCCCCCCCCCTGCCCTATTTTTGAGAACTTCATGCTTGGGCCTTAATTTTGAGTGGAAAAACTTTGTCTATAGCTTACAGTATAGACCTTGGTCCCATTAGTAAGGGGCATTAATACTTATTATCCAACTACACCTAGACGAGTACAAATAACGCCATAGACGAGTACAAATATCACGCGGTATTTGTACTCTAGAGTACCGGTTAAACAGGTTTTCTTGCATCGCATAAGCGAAGCATTCTAGTTATGAAAAAAAAAAAAAAAAAAGTGGCGGACAATTTGAATCATATTTCCGACAACAAAGAGTCAGAATGGGTGGAAAATATAGGTCCAAGTTCATTAGATGAATCGAACGAAGAAAAACAGCTTGACGACTAGCAAATTTTTTCAATTAAGGAAAAAAATAGAAACAGTGACACAACAACGCCCCAATTCCATTCCACTTTGCATACTTCTGTCACGCACTCCCCGTAGGTAAATATCCGCGAAATTCACCCACACTGAAATAACAGTTTGGCATGTTGGATAATAAATAACTTATTAGACGTTTTGTTGTGTAGTATCACTGAGTATTTTTACTCGTTATTTGTATTTTGACTCGCCCTACAGGCTCGTCACAACTCGGCACAACTCGTAAAAATACTCAACAATATTACACAACAAAACGTCTAATAAGATATATATATTTTATGGAATCTACCACCCTTCATGTACTCAAAAAGTGTTTTCAGTTCTAGTTTCTATTAAAATGAAAAACAGTTTGCTGGAGAGCAGAACAGATAACATGCAGTTCAGGGTTAGTTATTAATTCAAACAAGCTAATTTCAGAACAAAATTTACCTGAGATTCATGTGCAATCCTTGAGACAAGTAAGTCAAGAATTGGCATTCCATCACATCTTTCCACCAAAATGAATTCTAAAAATACTTTCATTAAGTTGGCATCTGTGATGCTGCGTAGAAACAAGTCCAGATAGGATGTGGCAGCTATCAATGCTTCAGTGGATGACTGCAAAGTGGAAAAGTCACCACAAATTACAGGGCTCAACACTAACTTTTCAACTTACTAGCCAAGTGGCTAGTGACATCTTGGATGTTACGACAATTTCAGTTTGCTTACCAGCCAAACTGGCTAGTGGAAATTGAAAACCACTAACCAAAACTGAATTTCTACTAGTCTGTGGCTAGTGGGCTACTGTTAGTGTCGAGCCCTGAATTATCCACAATTACCAATTCATAAATTAAGATAATTAGAGAACAAATGAACAAACAAACAGTACTGCAAAGGGAGTAGAAGTTTTTAGAGCTTGGTATATCCTTGTCTTGCTCAGTGGAAAATGAGACTGCAAAGTTTTCATTTTAAGATCAGACATATTTCTGTCACAAAGATAACTAATGCAGTAAATGGTTTGAACCCGGGGGTAACATGTGAAGGTGTAGTCTGATCGTCTGGGTGAGTGTAGTCCTGAGAAGGACTGTTGTCGGTGGTAGTGACTGACGTTTCGACAACCTGTGCGGAAGTCATCATCAGAGTCAAGTGGCTTTGATGATGACTTCCGCACAGGTTGTCGAAACGTGAGTCACTACCACCGACAACAGTCCTTCTCAGGACTACACTCACCCGGACGATCAGACTACACCTTCAAAGATAACTAAGTTGTGAATTTAAAGTTTCACATTTTTTTAACCCTGAGCCTGTCCTGTTCAAAGTCTTGAAAACTTAGTTCACAACTGTTCAAAGGACTATAAACCCTTTCTCTCCCAAAATATGACATATAAATTCTCATTATATTTGGTCTTACACTTCTTCTAATTTAAGTGCTGAGAATTTGGTCTCCAATCAAAAACTATCCCTAGTTGATTTTTTTCCTTGTTTCTATCACCTTTCTTCTTTGTTAAGTGTTGATATCAAATTGATAAGGAAAATTTACTGATTGGTTACTCTTGCAAGTGAAATAGTAATAGCCTACCTGGCCAAGTGATGATGCCATTACTGACACAAGAAATCCATGATAAATGAGATCCAACAGCTTGGACTGGACTTGAGGATGAGCAATCTGAATAGAGAGTTCAACGTTCAAAAATTTAAGAAAATATTCAATTTGGTCTCTGACATTATGAAAACTGTACAACAATAACAACAAAACTGTTTTATGAAGGCAAATATTTCACTTAAGATAATTTTAATTTAAACTGAATTATCTTCCTAACAATTATCAAAAAATTTTCGAATACCTCTTCCTTCAGTAGAAATAAATCATCAACTGCTGGTGTTGGTAAACCACCCCGCAATCTTTTTCAACATATCTCCCCCCCTCTTACAGCTATTTCTTCTTTAATTTCCCCTTATCAATCCTGAGTAAAGTCCAATAGTGGGGCTTTAGAGAACCACATGAACATGAGCAAAACAGGGAGTTCAACAAGACAACCTTCAGGACTGCGGTCTAGCAGTACCCAGTGGCCCCTGGGGCCTCACTTCTGCTCTCTTGGGTGACTCACAAGTCTTAGTTTTTTCCTGAAAAGCATATGCTGGGTACCCTGGATTTCAGTTTCAGAGCACTGGGCTCCTTCAATTTTTCTTAGAGCACATCCTTGATTAAACATTTTTCATGTCTAACCAGTAAAATTGGATATGCATATATTAATCAATATGTACCTGAATGACATTGTTACAAAATTCAAGTGATGTCAGAAATGAAACCAGTTCAGGAAAAGTTGCCCACAGGCCTCTCTCCAAAGAATACCAGTCCTCTGAAGGTATATCAAGTGAAGTTGGCAGATCAGAATACAAGGCACTGAGTCCTGTTGCTAACACCTAAAATGTTGTAGAGAGAAATTTAAACAAGGAAACAATCCACATCTAAATTCTTCCTGAGTATTCAAAAAACTGTCTTGAAATATTACAACAATTATGCTAATTTTTTAAGGATACCAGCCCTGGTGGCTGAAATGCTGTTGTACTTGAAACACTAACAACATCTGGTCCAATGTCCAGTTTGAAAACCTAGCAAAACGTTGATCTGCTCCATTTGTTGTCCAATCAACCATGATTTCTTCTACATTTTTCACCAGCTAATTATAGAAATCGAAAGCCCCTCATACAAAATCGAAGTCAAACCTGAACAATAACTTATAAGGATTAAGGAAACACATTTGCAAGTGTAAAATTTCAATTTGGCACATTTCCCGTTTCAGGTGATTGTTAGATTATTCTAGCTAGAGGGTTGAACAGTCGGGGACAAAAGCCTGCCTTAAAACAAGTAATAATAAACAAGCGCAAACGAAAATTACACAAGACCAAGGGAGATCAAACACAAACTCAAGAAACAGTTATACAAGTTTGCGTTTATAAACAGTTTTCCAGTTTTCATCATGCTATACAGAGGGCGAGGAAATTGTCACATGAATATCATTCGTCCAGCTGGAGGTATAAAGTTGTTGTTTCCGAGAACAATGTGTAAAAGTAATCGTAACCCCATATCAAACCGAAAGCAGATTTTCCTTATCAGCAAATTCCTTAAGCTATTGAGTAAACCACTACAAGGCGAAGTCAATAAAAAATAAACAAACATGACATTTCGAAATAGCAATAAGAAAAGGCCCGCCAAAGTTTGAAGGTGATCTTAAAAAAATAATCTGCCATCGCTCAGAGGGCCAACAAAATTCAACATGTTGTAATTCAAACAAAAACTGAAATAAAAATGTCAACAAGTATGATGACGAAAGTGCACTAACCGGACAAAAGTCTGTATCTTCGGCAATGTACCTGCCCAGCCTAGAATCAACTGATGATAAAGCCATGCACAACAGCATAGCATCACGGGCCCAAACGCCAACATTTCCATCCCGATGTACGTAAGGAATTAGCAGAGAAAACACAGAGAGCTTGGCTATCTGTGCGTGATGGTGATTATCCAAGAAAAAAAGATCCAACAGTGCAATATCCCGGTTCACACTCACGCACAGGCCCTTCAGCACTGCCACGAAATGTTCTTCCTCGTCCGAACAAATGTTGTTTACGCAAGAATGCAATAGATACAGGAGAGGTTTCCAAACCTGTTCGTAAATCAACAGTGGTGCTCTACCTTTCTCGATGAGATTCCTAAACAGTCTTAGCTGTTCTCGCTTCATATCCTTGACACAATTTCTGCTCGACGCACTCCAGTTGTACACGGTTTGAAATACATTTTCATCCAAAACGTATTGTAAACAAGGACCTGGGTCACCATCCTTTTCATCGACTAAAACATTGATAATTTCGTTTAAATGGTGGACTAAAATATTACACCGCTCTTGATGGCCAATAGTTTTCTCGTCTAGCGCTATGATTGACTTTGCATTATTCCAATGTACATCAACAAGCTTCAGAAAATCCTGTGCGCCGAGCTCTGCAAACCCGTCTTCTAGTTGCTTTTTTTCCGCGTCTGAACTCGGCGATTGAAGTGGCGACAAAGACGCAAGTTTCTTCAGTAAACTCATGGCTAGATAACGGCTTAAAAATACCCATAGGTCGTTTGTTCAACCGAACAAGAGGTTGTGTATCTGCGTTCACGCAAGTCCGCATCCGCCATCTTGGCTACACAGGGCCGCACGACAACACTGACGGTAATTGACAGCTCAGTATATTAGGAGCCAATCATATCGTGCTTCTATTTATGTCTGGTATTTCAGTAGCGCAAACCTCGTAAAAATTTCTATATCCCACACATTTTAACAATTCAGGGAAGGGGAAATTCAATTCTAAACGACTGGCGATCTAAAAGATTAAGCTTCATAATATTTGAGTAAAAGATGTTTTCAAGAAATTTCCTTCAGAGTGACTAAAGATTCAAATCCGTATTTTCATTTTTCGTGCTAAATTCCAAATTGTTTCTTATCCAATCCTCTATGTAAGAATAATTATAAACGTTACGCGATCGAACAATTGAAGCAAGGATGCGGAAATTTAAAAATATATTCTAAAATGCTGTGCGTGTGTTCAGAAATAGATCATAGATGACGTCAAAAGTATGGTAAGAACAAAAAAGTACTACCACTGACCCATGAGAACGTGGAATCTATTTGTTTTATACGATAAAAAAGCAACATATTTTTTTTTTGAAGTGACATCATCTATGCGACTAGACCTCGCAATAGCCCTCATCCCCTCCCCTCATCTTCTTCCCCTACGCCTCCCCATTGTCTCCTCATGCGGGTCTCCAAGAAGACGTCGATCACCGTTTTAAGCTCTGTGTACCCATTCCGCAAGAGTGAACGGCCTGGGTCGGCATACTTTCTAGTTCCTGGTTTGATCAAATTCTCATTGAAAATACTCAAGCCTTTACTTAGTAACATTCAACATGACAAGAATCGGAGACGGCGAAGATGTCGCTATGGTGGGGAAACTTAAAGTGGCGGTGCAAAAGTCCTAACACTCATTAAAAAATTCAGTCAGTTTTTTAATGATTCAGATCAATCCCGAGAAAAAACAACTATCATATTTGAGGTGTTTTTTATGTCTAAGCTGGTTTTTGGTTCTGTCGTAAAAAATGGAGCATGTAAGTTATAAGCACTTGATCATTCAGAAATATATCTTTTGAGCGACACGAGTTTGTCTTTTAAAACTTCTATATTTGCAACAAGATCAGAATACTGACTGCTGCATTCTAATGACTCAGCAGAACTTTCTCTTGAACACTTGGAAAGTGTCGGTTCGTCTTCGTGTTTTAATCGCCTTACATCTTCTATAACTTCTTTTTCTTCAATAACTGACACTTCACAGGAGCTTTCTTCTGAAAAACAATGTCTTCGACTGAAGGCGGATTTGTCCTCTTTATCTCCGCTTTTCAATACCTCTTGTAGCTTGAACATCAAGCTTTTTATATCCTCTAAATCTCCGCCAAGTGTTTTGAAAGTCTGTTCTATTACTGTCATTTTATCGTAAACTGTAAGAACGTTTTCTCCATGGGCGTGGTCAGAATTCTTGCAATGTCCTCAAATTTCAGAGGGCAAGGATTCCAAGTTCTGTTTTTCTCCCGGTTGGACATCAGTTCCCATTGCATGGCTGTTTTCATGCGATTGCTCTGTGGCATATTGCGTCCACATCTCGTTTAAAGTAGGTACAGAATCATTATCAAATGACATGTTGCGAATTCAGAATGAAAATATGTGTTGCAACGCGTATCCAAGTTCTAAGACAAATTTGCTGAGAAACGTAACAATTACCATTAGGTGTGCGTCACTGGAGATGCAATGCGCGCGCCAATCCCACAGACTCCGCGCAGGTGTAATCGACTTTGTAGGTGAGCCGACAGAGCTAACAAGCTCCGCCGCTGATACTACACACGTCCGCTCATCGAGAGCTTTAGGTAACCAGGTTGTAAAATTTTCTACACAACACCTCCTCGAATCAGCCCTGTGCTAGTCATGGCCGATAAAAAGAAGCCGTAGGAAGATGAAACAAGACGGCTGAGTCATCAGCGTGAACTTTGGGACAACTAAATGCCTCCTACTTTTAGAAACCAAAAGGCACCAAGGGAGTAGGAAGACAAAATTAGGCGTTTTTCTCGGCAGTCGCATGTAGACAATGTTGCGCACTTTTTACCTTTGGCCAAACCCGTCAAACACTAGGGTCTACGCTGAAATCGGAGGCTGACACAGACGATAAACTATGGGTAACAAAACGAAATGACAAATTTATTGATACATCAAAATTTACATATAAAAAAGCCTGTTTTTAAATATTTCTCCAAGAGAATTTAAGATTTCGTTCAAGTGCAATTAAACATAATTGCAAAGTGCCACCCAGAAAGGAGGACGTTCTCTATACTGTATGGCCTAATAACGTCTAAAACGTCGAGAAGGACTTGATATCTGAAGTGCCGCTTCAATAAACCAACGCATGCCCCGTTTAAACACTCACGTCGCCCAGAAAGAACACACACCGTTTCAAAACAGCTGGTGCGTGTAACTTTAAAACACTCGTGCGCCGATTTTGACATTTTCAGGGTTTTTTCAAACCACTCTCGCCCACCTTACAGAACATCTGCTAAGCACGACTGAATCTGGAAACAAAATGAAACCAAATTACTTGGGGATTCATTGGCTTTCCTTGTTCGTTTGATGTTTGTAGAATAAAAGGGAAACATAACGGTAATACGTGGTCTTGGAGAAGAAATGCCCTAGCACACAAAACATGACTCTGATATAGCAGTGAACTATCCGTTTTGCTGACATTTGCAATCAAACAAAGCAGTCCTTCTACAAGACCTGCAGCAGAGAAGGATGACATCAAAACCTGTTCCCAGGTCACCTCGTGTATAACACTGTTATCATCCTCTAAATATGGTGGTGTGATTCTCGTGTTCTGTGGCTCTCATATCAGCTCAACGCTTCTTTGACTTGTGCTTTTTCGATTTCCGTTCATTATCGCTGTCTGATTCCTTTGAATTACTAGAGTTACTACTTTTATCACTGCTGCTGGAGCTGGGAGAACTACAGCTACTGCTGTCATCAGATGAATCACTGCTGTCTGTTGTGGAAGATTCATCAGATTCAGACTCGTCATTGTTGTCGCTGCTTTCGCTGCCACTTTTGATAGAAACATCAAACAAAAATAAATCCATCTTCATAACAAAAGAATGGCCACTTTCCCCACCCCTTTTTTTTTTTCCAGCAAGGCAGTAAAGCTGATAAAACCAACATGCTGTTGAGCACGATGGTCGACAGTGGGCCCACAATCAGAACTGTGACAGAAAATACCACCACCACATGCAAGAGATCCGCTAGCTGAAATGCTGGCTTACCTGTTATTGGACATTTTCTACCAACCCTGCCCCTTCTAAAAATTGCTTTTCAGGGTTTTTGAAAACCCAACCTTTTTATGAGATGCAATGGTCATTAAGTAATGGCTGAATAGGACAATTTAAGACTTCCCAAAGGACTCAAAATGCCCGAAAATATTTCCACCTCAGACTTAAAAATTGATTTTCAAGAAAGGAAAGACTTATAAATAAACAATTACCCTTGAACTCCCATGACTGACTAAGACACAATTTCTCCTTACAATATCAACACAGTATCAAGTGACAAGAATGAGGAAAATTATCAATTAAGAGATCATCCGCTGACCTTTGCCAAATTCTCAGAACTAACATCATATAAATTATGCAGCAGACAGTAAGGAGAATTACTAAAATGAGATCTTGGCAGTGAAAGGGTTGGGGGACTTATATCACACTAAACATGAAATAAGCTGAATTATAAAATAGCCATAAAATAATCAAAGTACTGTAAATCCTCCATTAAGCCCCCCTCTGTAATAAGCCACCCCCCTCTAATAAGCCACTCCCCCTCTAATAACCCATCCCCCCTCTAATAAGCCACCCCCACTCTGTAATAAGCCACCCCCCTCTAATAAGCCCCCTTCCTCTAATAAGCCACTCCCCCTCGAATCCTTAGCCCCCCTCTAATAAGCAACCCCCCTCTAATAGAGAGAAAAAAGTAAAATGCGAACAAGCCCTCTAATAAGCCTTAGTAGCTCTAATAATAGCCCCCCTCTTAAGAGGAAGAAATTTATTAAGTCACCCCCTCTGTTAAGCCCCCCTCTATTAAGCTCTCCACCACTCTGCCTCAAAAAAACAAGAATTCCCAATAACACTCCATGTCAGTAAAGTACAAGTTTTGTTGTGTTTGTGCTTTACTGATTTACAAGATGATTATGACAAATCAAACCACACATCAGATTTTACTGAGGATTTTGACTCTGCCAATTTGGTAAGTGAAAAAGAGTAAAATGAGAACAATTTTAGAATAAATTCAGTACATTTTGTATCCCAGTAGTGAACATCAAGCAAAATTAATAAGTCCATCCCCCCTCAAATAAGCCACCCCCAAAAATACCTGAAATAAATAAGCCCTTCACAGGATTTATTAGAGGAGTTATGGGACAAACAGAGTTTCCCAACTGTGTAGTACTTAATATGAACTTCTAAAGAAATAAAATACCTTTTATTTGGCGTGCTCTTTTCCTTCCTGACTGCTTCACTAGAGGGATAGCATTAAATTTAGCATTTGATTGGAAGTAGAGGTATATAAATAATGGGGGCAATTAATAGAGCAATAGCTGTTGGGACAGTGAAAGTGATTATATCAAGGAAAAAACCCAAAGAAAGAATGATGGGCTAATATGAGAGAAGACACTTGTGGAAGAATATTTTGAGGGTTGTTGACATGAACTTAGGTCTATAAACAGAGGGGCTTATTAACATGGAGCTCACAGCTGCAATACATAGCTGTTTACATACAGATGCACCTATAGTGGAGAGGCACACAAACAAAGGGAAAGGGGAATCTTATGATAATGAACAAACAAAGCCTGTATAATAATGATAATAAAGTATTACTGTTTTTCTTAAGATGTGGTCACTTATGATGTGGATCGAAACGTTTCGATCCCATTGCAATCAACACAATGAGTGACCACACTGTGAGAAAAACGATAATACCTTATCATCATTGCACTGTACCAGGATGAAAAAGTACAACCTTTTTTACAAAAGTCTGCACATTGTCCAAGTTAGTACCCATTGTTCTTAATTCTTTCATTTATTGTTATTACATAGCTTGTAAATTTGTGCAATCAAATTCAATAGCGCGAGCATGCTTCAATTTTCCATTGAGCACACTGGTGACATCAGCAAACAGATGCCTCGCGAAAAAATTTTTTTCTCACGAGTGACTTCAGCATTTTTCATTAAAAAACAGGAAAACTTCCACAAAAAAGTTAAACTAGACATGGCAACAAGTGAACAAGCCGATGAAGAACTGCCTACTTTTTCTTTGGGAATGGATTTTTTAACTCCCAAGAAAGAACCCAGAGAAGGGGAAAACAAAACAATCAATGGTCTCATCTCATTTCAGAACTCCAACTTCATTTCCACACATGAATTCACCTGTCAGTTTTTGACCAATCTGAGACAAGATCATTGAAGCATGGTGAAAATACTTTTCTGAAACGAAATAAACAAGGCATTGAAGCGTAGGAGAGGGAATTTTTGCCCTTTATACATAAACTACAGCGTCGAAAATGTTATAAAACAATTGGTTTATACATCAGCTGTGCGTTCATCGAGATATGAAGCACTTGGGAAGTCTGGAGAGCACTCAAGAAGCTAGAGTTGCTCTTGGCTATGCCTCAAGCAACTCTTACGCATCTTTCATGCTTTCCAAACTTCCCGCATGCTTCATATCTCAATGAACGCACGCTGACATATGAACCAATTGTTAATTGATCAACTAGCAAATCAAATGCCACATGCTTGTAAAATAGCAAATCAGGCATCATGTTGGGATGTTTGGTCCCACATCATGCTGATAATTTGGGTTCAATCACATATCACGCTGTAAATTTTGGGGCCATCCCAGTCAACCCTTTGCCACCCTCGCAAGGAGGGCCTTATTGGCTCTGTAGTTTATACTAGTTCCACAGACTGTACAGAGAGAATCGCAGTGAAATCAGACTGGTATGAAAGCATCAGTGGCAACACACTTACTTCTATGCTTAAAAAATAAAATCAAGTAAAAAATTATGTTTTTAGAACTAGTTTGACTTCTGTTTTCTTTGATTTTCAGTCCCCACCATACCATACTATTAGAAATTTCTCTACTTTACCTTTTACTTGAATCATTATTATCGTGAGAAGAACTGGCTAACTTGATTTTCTTTTTCATCACCGCTGTTCTTGAATCTCGCTGCAAATATTTTCGTTTATTGTTGCATTCGTACGTCCAATGACCCACTTGCAAACATTTCTGGCATCGTTGATTACCTGCCTGTTCTTGCCTTAAAATGCAATTCAAATTGTAATTCTTTGGCCAGCTCATGATATGGAACTCGTAACTTCATTTTCTGACAAACCCCGCGGCAACTCACAGAAACTGAAATCCTTGGAAAGATAATTCTCCAATGATATAACCGCATACCATTCAAAAACGAAGCCATAATCCCAAAGGTAATCTGTTGTTTTGCCTCTGCTTTCTTTTATCCAAGAATTGTATGCATAATGCAGTATGGGGTTATACGGAAATCTAGCCAAATTCTCACCTTTTCTAACAACTAAAAGAAACCGAAATCCTTACCTTTTCTTGTTCAGGACGTAAGACCTCGCCACATACGCCATCTTTTTTTGTCATTTGTTCCCAGTCTCCTTGGTGGGTAGTTGGAAAATTAATGTCACTCCCAGGCTTCCAACCGAGATTCACAAGGTTATGTGGATTTCTCTTACCTTTCGTTATCATTGGGACCAACGTCCCTTCAGTACAGGCGTACCAAACGAGGTTCCAATTGCATTCTGTAAATATTTTTAAGTCTGTAAAATGTGGAAAGTAACAGATAATATCTAGACTGGCTTTGAAAGTACTTCAACAAATCAACAGGTTTCCCAGGATACTTTTCATAACCTCCTAAAGCCAACCATGCATAAGTCACAACAGCCAATGAGAGGTAAGGGAAACATTTTCAGGAGTCAATGAGAACTCAGATTGAAAATTTAACACCATCCTCGAGTACAGAAATGTGCAATTAATCAAGATGTGCTTGGTTTTAGTTTTGCATCTGATTGGTTTAGAGGATGTAGCAAGTTTTTGCAACTGATCCAGAGCAAAGTGGTGTGAAAGTCAATGCAAAGTGGTGTGAAACTCAATGCAAACCTAGATAACTTTAGATGCTCATATTAAAAATTCATCAAACGTAACAAAGACCTCTTGTTTATACCAAAGAACATAACAACAGAATCCACTAAATACCAAAAAATGTCACATTTATTGGCTTTCAGCATACAAGAACTTATCCTCATGCTGTAGACACCAAAATACTTGATACTTAGTTCCTTGTTTATTTACAAACAGTATACCAGAGGAAAAATTCACTTAACCCTTTAAATCCCAGAAGTGATTAACAAGTGACTTCTCCTTACAATATCCATGCATTCTCTGAGAAACAGGTAATGAGAATACTCACACCTATCAAGTAGAAGTTATCTTGATCTAACACCAAATTCTCGTAACTAATTTACAAGAAAATGTGTAGTAGCTAGTAAGGAGAATTAACCATCGGATCTTGAGAGTTAAAGGGTTCATGCCCTGACAATACCAACATAAAAATAGTCTACAAATACCTAACTCACAAAGAAAGCACATGAGATTACATTTTTCTCAAATTAAGACAATTACCATATCAACAAAATTAGCACTATTAAAATAGAATAAAAAACCTTTAATGAAATTTGAAGGTTTGTCAGGGCATAAAGGTTTAATTTGGAACTTTAAAGCTCTGTAAAAATGGTAGTTATCTAAGTATTGTATCAAGCGAATGATCAGCCATGGTATAAAACATGAAAAGCTGCATGACATAATTATTTTAAGTTCTTCTAGTCAACAGTGTTTGGACCAACACTGCAGGGAATTAATGCCTTTGAAAACAACTTGTCACAAAATCTCACACAGAGTCCAACTTAACAGTAGGTTATCACAAAATTACTTACTATCACTAGACATAATTTACAGTAAATAAATTAATCAACCATAAGCATTCCTATAATAAATTTTAACATACATTTCCAACAAAAAAGTACATTTCCACCATCACTGTTTTCTTGATTAAGAAAGAAAGTAAAAATCTTTCTCCTTCTACATAAATTTTTTCATGTTGGTAGTTTTCACTTTTAGTTAGTAAAATAATGTTAGTCTTGACATTCCCCTATTTTAGCATCACCTTTTTCAAAACTGTGTCCAGAAAAATAATCCTAACAAACAAAAAAAAAAAAACAGTTTCTGAGCTGTTGACATTCCTTAGGTTAAATTGGCCATTGTAATGCTTGTAACCAATAATTGCTGTCCCTCCCTCGCTATTAAAGCTATCCCTTTCCCTCATTAGATCTAAGTAGTAATTTTCCACACAGTTGCCCAAACATTTCTTTTCATTGTTGCTCTGAAAAACTGGCATTCAATAAAACAATGTCCCCTACTCGACAATCAGTGTTCTTCTTGTCACTTTCCTGCTTGATATTCTACTGACATTGTGAGGAAAAATACTCTGATGGTCACTCATCAGAGCAAAAGCACTCTGATTAAATCAACGACAAAAGTAATTATACTAAAAACAATTATAATGGTAATAACAGTTTTTCTGTCGCTACTGATCGATAAAAATAACTACATAATAGAAGGTTTTTGTGCAATTCACAGGAAACAACCACTGCCCTTTCTTTTTTTGTAACATGCTTTCTGGAGTTACATACAAACAATGAGACCACCCATTTATGACTAACAATAGTTATTGTGACACAAACAATCTGATGTGAAAAAAAGAATCTCTGTTACGACGAAGCAACTACCTGCATCATCTGGTGTCTTGTAAATAATAAAAAAAAAAACAATTACGATCACTTCTAATACCTACTACAAAAACAAAGGAAGCAAAAGCAAGCAGAACAAATTACAATAAAAAAAATTTTGGATTGAGTCTAAGAAAAAATAATGTCAGCAACCAAGCTGCCTTAACAATTCATTTAGAGATGGAAAGAAAAGAAAAGCTTCCTCTGTTGATACAATTTTGATTATTCCTGATTGCAAGAAGTTGGAGCAATGATCTTCATCCCAAACAGTAGTACCCTTAAGGACGTCTGATTTACAAGCAGTCAAAGGAAACTTTTCTTTATCACACAAAACCACTCTTTTGACCTGATGGGGTCACATAATATACTTGCAATATATACATGCACCCCTGAAGTATGCAATCTTCAATAATTCTAGGAGACAATAACCAATTTATTAAGCCCTGAGATTGGTAATTTCAACCAAGTTTGAAGTTGAACTTGATGAATCTCTTTCCCAGTTCACCTCTGCACTGACACGAAGAACACGACCAGATTCAGAAACACTGGAGCTTTCTGTTAAAGACAGTAAAAAATCTCAATTATTTCTCTAGGTTGGTGAACTTTGGCTGTACAAGAAGGCCCTCAAATGTGGTCTTCCATCATTTTTTTTTTAAATGCAGACTAGCTAGGGACACTGACAGCAAAATTTAAAATAATTACAAATTCCAAGATAAGAAAACTGCTTGCCAAAAATGTTCAAACCATTTGCTCTTCTACATGTAGAGGTTTATTCAGCAGAATATCTTTCTTTATTTCCTACCTGAACCATCACAACTGGACCTCCTCTCGCTAACAGAAGGTTCAATTTCATTCATGACCACACCGCGGTTGTCAGCAGCAGTACGATGGTCCTCATCAGGAAGTTCTGATGTACCAACTTCTACAGCTAGGGTGCGACTTCCTTCAACACTGGGCTGATAAATAAACAAAAAAAATTCCATAGTAATTTTGTGTTTGCTTACTGAACATAAGTAAACAAAAAGATAAATAAAAAGTGCTTTTCCAACATCATGCGCATAAGCATTATTTGCAATTTTTTTTCTTAACTTACCAGCCCCAGTTCCTTTAAGATGTTGAGTTTACACATTGGACAAGTCCTATGTTCAACCAACCATGGGTCGATACACATCTTATGAAACTCATGCCTATCAAGAAAGACAAGTCAGGAATCAAACAATTTAGAACCCATGGTATCACTAGAACATTCAACCGAAGGTTACTGAATTAGACAACATATTTGCAACATCAATATTCAAAGAATGGTTGGGATTATCACTCACTAAAGGTGCTTTAGGAAAAAACATATTTCTTACTTCTTACTTCCTTTTTCCTTCAAAAAGAGTAAAACAAACTCAGAAGAACTGTCTGAAAATTTGTCTCAGAACCTCCTCTTCCTTCCATTCTTTTTTTTTTTCTGTAGGGAAGTTTTGGTCTCTTTGATCAGTTTAGAGTCACCCAATTAAACTGTAGGCTAACCTAAAAATTTTCAGAGCTTTTCAAACACATCCAACAAAGGTTTGAGTGCCACAAGGTAGGTCTTAAGTCTCTATATGCATCCTGTCGAATTATTCCCAAATGTAGCATTTCCTGAAAGCTACTACTTACTGGCAAGGCAGAATACGAACGACATCACCAGCTTTGTAACCATCCAAGCACACAGCACAGTTATCAGACTCATCATCTTCAGTCTAAAATACAGACAACAACTGTACATGGCAAATGCAATTTACTTTACTTGAAGGCAAAGAGCTAAACATGCATACTTTGAAGTAATAGTCTTAATATTTTTGTATCCATTATTCAACTCAACAGTCATTTTTTTGTGTCTACTCCAATGACACCTAAATCTACTTGATTTATAACATGTTTCCTCAATTTAATGTTAGTACCAGCACTCCTGAAAGGAATTTGGTTTTCCCTATTACTGGCTTCACTGTTAGCTAATGTACAGTTTCCTTCATGCAAAGACAAAATTTTTAAAAAAAATATAAGAAACAATTTAACAACCCTCTTTGTTTCACCTTAGCTCTAGACTGCCTATCTAACTTGGAGACACTACCTCATAATGGCTTATATGGCTAATGCAATTTTCTTATACAGTCCAACCTGTATTGCAGTCAGAATGGCAGACAGGTTGACCACTTATACAGGTTCCACAGAAAAGGGGCATACTAAAAAGTAATAAAAATCTTCATTTTGCCATAATTGACCACTTAATGTACAAACATTTGCTCAAAAATACTATTAACATTAATTTTAGGAGACAAAAAAAGTTTAAATTTTAAATGAAAGAATAATCTAGTTTTATATGAGTGGTCCCCCATTAAATGATTATTCAATACAGGTGAGGGACAATACAAAAGGGCTGTACAGTTTAAAGGGGTAAAAATTTCAGGACTTTGGAAACCATCTGCTTTAAACACCAAGTGACTGTTTGACATGGTGCCACTCAATACAGGTTCAACTGTAAATTAAATACTATAAGAAAATCTTCCTTTTTTAACATATGGAAATTCCTAAAACCATACCTTTTTGCTGACAGTGCGCGTTGGAAGTTTAGCAATAGCCTTCTTGGCAGCACAAGTTAAGCGTTTCTGTTAAGAGAGGAAAAATAATCAATCCACTTCCTCAATGATGGGCAAGTAACCACAAATATTCCAGTTAAAATTCAAGGTTGAACTCAAGTCAGATCACAAACCACGTTCAATGTTTTGAATGTTACACAATCACAACTTCACAGTTATAAGTTGGTGAATAGTATTTACGCTTGCTATTTTATTATACTAAATACACTATTTGCAAAAGTCCTGAAATATTTTAGCACTTTATCATGACTGTGGTTATACACAGCAGAAGTGTAAATAAACAATGTTTTAGGTAAAAAATAAAAAGGAACAACCAACTTCCACACTGTGGGCAAGCAACCACAAATAAGCTACTTAAAATTCAACATTTAAGTCAATGCAACAATCATTGTCAATGTTCCAAATGTTACATAATAATCATATAAATTTTATTTCTACATTATGTATTGCTGTTCATATATGTTTTTTCACTACTTTATACAACTTATTTACTTTGCAAAACTTTCTTAAACATTTGAGCATTGTAACTACACTGTAGTAATGTGCAGCAACAGTGTAAATAAAAAATGTTGGTGTTGAAAAATCAAGTGGATCAACCAACTTCCACATTGTGGGCCAGTAACCACAAATATGCTAAATTCCCATTCAAGATTAAAGTATATACAATAAATATTGTCAGTGATTCGATTATTATATAATCAAAATACCATTTATGAGTTTATTAATACTTTTAAAATTTGCTATTTCACTGTCTTACATGATTTATTTACTTTCTAAAAGTCTTGAAATATTGGAGCATTCTAATAAGACTTATTAGTAAGTAATTCACAGCAACAGTGTGAATAAACAATGCTTTCAGTTTAAGAATAAACATAACTCAAACAATTGCCATATAATAGCAGTAACCACAATTATATTTATGATCCCAATTAACAGCAGCAGTTGTCACAGTTCCAACTGTTACGTAACCTGACTTTTTTCATTTAGCAAAAGATTAATAATTTTTATACTTTCTATTTCGTATATTTTAATCAATCATTAACTTTTCAGAATTCTTCACATATTTGAGCACTGTTATGCATGTTATACTGTGGTAATACACAGAAACAGCTCAACCAAACAGAGTTTCAGTTGAATTATTCAAAAAGAATCAAGCAATTTCCACAAAGTGAAACAAACCACAAACTGTTCACATCACTTTTGATCTTAAAGATTTAAAATATCTAAAGAAGTCCTTGTCAATTTTTCACATTACACATGATTTCTCAATATTATTTATTAGCGGATTGATTAATAGTTTTGGTGCTTGCTATTCCAATATCCTACATAAACTATTTACTTAGGCAAAGTCTTCAGATATTAGTAAACAGTATTATGAAAGTAATGATGCCCAGCAACATCTTTAGCAAGCAAAAGGTTTTGAATTATCAAACTGCGAACTTTCCGGAGTTTCTGATAAACCATCATTATTAACAATTATATCTTCTTGGAAAGCAACAAAATATTACTGCTTTTTGATACTTCATGATCTTGGTTTGGCAATGACAGACTGAAATTTCGAACATTTCTCTAAAAAACCGCAATCAGCAAATGGTGAAATCGAAAAGTGCTTGTCGAAGCGCTTCACGACCCACTTAGCTTTGTTCCGTGAAGTTTCTGTCGTAGAATTCATTTATCTATAAGTAATTACTGCTAAGTATTGCTAATGTGACGCAAGACTCTTCAAAATTCCGCAGGCGTTAATTGCAACGAAGAAAAAAATTAACGGAAAGACGAATCAAGAAACATTTGCCCACAACTATGAAATATGAATAAGAAAGATAATGACTGAAAGTTATAATTCAATCTCGTTTGTGGAGTTATTGTCGAGGACTAAGCTTATTAACCCAGAGAGCGAAACAGTGATATTCAAAACAAATCATAGCAGATATCACAAACTCTAGAACAAGATTCCCCACTAATGCTATTTTTACTAAAAATAAAAAGGATTTTTTATCAACAGGGTCAAAAATTGCCCGCACTTACCTCGGTTTTGTCCCGTGCATGGACATAACGAAACCTTTGGACATAATAAAACACCAACCACGCAAGCGAAATCACCATTAAAACAATAAACGACACCGAGACGAAGAGAACAGATGTCGGATTCACTTGCCATTTCTTCTGTGAAATCGTTTCACCCACAGCAATCTCTACATACACAGCATTGGTTCTGTTCACAAGAGCATCGGCCAGCTCGACTCCAAGAGCCCTCTTTATACTGACAGCAACAATCTTGTCTGCCCCAACGTGTGACATTTGGATCACCTCGTCTCTATCTGAGCTGTCGTAAATAACAACTGCTGTAGCGTTGTGATTGCGAGCATTTATAATCTTGTCCCTAAAATTGCACGCTCCTCTTTCGATGAGCGCAATCCAAGGCTTTCTTTCCACAACGACGTCAAATACGTTACAACCATTAACATTATTTTCTTTTAGAGAATACAGCCATCCCTTCTCGTGGCGTTTAGGACTGTGACTTCCAAATTTTCCCTTTCCATCAAATGGCTTTATCTTACATTTATCACCGTGTCTGCCGCAAAAGGTTATATTCAACACAGCTTCTGTGTATTTCTCAAGTTGTTGTTCGTCATCGTAGAAACTACAGTTGACAAAATTCCCGACACAAACGAACAATAACAGTGCTAAGATGACGTTGATGCGCTCTGGGAAGCTGCTCACGATGGCCATTATCGTTTCAAAGTAGACGAACAGTTACAGGATCCTTTCAGCCGTAAATAAAAGAATCTACTGGAGTTTGAAGGATATTTTGAAGGTTTTTCAGTGTATACAGCGAATCAGCTCTTCCGCCATATTCC